AAACATCTTGTGTTCTTGAATTGGAAAAATTAATATTAAAGTGTTTATATTATCCAAAGCAATTACATAGTTCGATGGTCCCTATCAAAATTCCAATGTTGTTTTTTCACAGAATAGAAGAAGCTTGTAAAATTCGTGAAAGCCAAAGCAGTTTTGAGCAAGAACAAAATTGGAGACATTGAAGTACTGTAATCAAAGCAGCATGGTAACGGTATAAAGCAGACACCATGACCAGTGGAACACAAAGGAGCCCAGAAACAGATCTACACACTTAAAGTCAGTTGATCTTTGGCAGGAACATACAATAGGAAAAAGACAATCTCTTCAGTAAGTGATGTTAGAAAAACTATATTTACACACAAAAGAATGAAATTGGACCTACATCTCATATTGTGTGTAGGAAATTAATTTAGCGATTTAAAGACTTTACTGCAAAGCCTAAAACCCTCAGGGAGGTTAGATTGCCCCTTGGGACGCCTTATACATACTGAGGTGCCTGGTTTGGGTCCTGGAGAGGTACTTCCTGCTGATATACCCCCAGGAAGGTGGCACCTGATGATAGCTCTAGTACTTGGGTCCTTACCACCCACTTGAGGGACCTGAATGGGTTTTCCAGGCTTCTGGCTTTGTTCCCAACCCTGCCTTGCTGCCAGCATTTGGCAAGTACTGGTGGAGGATCTCGATCTCTTATCTACCAAATAAAGTGAAAGTACACAAATAAATGTAAAGATCCGTGCAACCACATAAAACTACCAGAGCACAAGTTCTTAATGTTGAGCTAGGCAGTGTTTCTTTTTTTAAGATAAGATCCCAAAGGTAGAGGCACAAAAAGCCAAATATAGTCAAATGGAGTTCATTAAAAAAGCTTGTCTTGTTGTTGAGTTTTATTTATCTCGGAGGCTGACAGAGATTCCGAGTGTCTGTAGGTTCACTCCCTAAATGCCTACACATTAGTTGGGGCTGGACCAGTGTAGGCTGAAACCCGGAGCTAGGAACTCCATCTGGATCTTCTGTGTGGGTGGCGGGAACTTGAGTACTTGAGCCTTCATCTGCTGCCCAAGGCACATTAGCGGGAATCTGGATTGGAAGTGAGAACAGCTAATGCTTGAGCAGACCCTTTAAATGGGGTTGCAGGAATCCCCAGTGATACACTAGTTTAGCTAGCTGCACAGTGCCAACCCCCACCCAGACTAAATCATTTTTGCATAACAGTAAAGAGACAACCTATTGAATGGGAGTAAATATTTGCAAACTCATACTTGTGATAAGGAATTAATATCCAAAATATGTAAGGAATTCAAGCAATTCAGTATCAAGAACACTAATAAATAATAGCTTAATTATAAAAAATAGGCAAAGAGCCTGGGTAGACATTTTTTAAAAGAAGACATAAAAATGGCCAAAGGGTAGATGAAAAAATGCTGATTGTTACCAATTACTCTGTTATTAAAATGACAAAAAATTGGGGATAGTTGTTGTGGCATAGCGGATTAAACTATCTGATATGAAGTCCCACCTCTGTTTCCTACCCAGTTGCTTGCTAAAGGTTCCTGGGAGGCAGCAGGTGATTGGTGACCCATGCTTGGAATTCTGCCACTCGTTTGGGAAACCCAGATGGAGACCCTGGCTCCCGGCTTCTGCCCATGTCTGCAAAAAGAGATCCTCTGTGAGCTAGTGGTGGGCGGGTAAAACAGCTGCAATGGAAAATTTTTCTCAAATAAACTAAAAACTGAGCTGTAATCCAGAAATCCTACTTTTCTGTATACATCCAAAAGACATATTGGTATCTTTTTTTTTTTTTTTTTTAAAGATTTATTTTTATTATTTTTTCATTGGAAAGGCGGATATACAGAGAGGAGAGACAGAGAGGAAGATCTTCCATCCGATGATTCACTCCCCAAGTTAGCGCAACGGGTCGATACTACGCCAATCCGAAGCCAGGAGCCTCTTCGGGGTCTCCCACGCGGGTGCAGGTTCCCAAAGCCTTGGGCTGTCCTCGACTGCTTTCCCAGGCCACAAGCAGGGAGCTGGAAGGGAAGCGGGGCTGCCGGGATTAGAACCGGTGCCCATATGGGATCCCGGGCGTGCAAGGCGAGGACCTTTAACCACTTGCACCACCGCGCTGGGCCCGACATATTGGTATCTTAAAGAGATAACTGTTTTTTCATATTAATGATGGTATTATTTGTAATAACCAAAGTAGGGAATCGGTATAACTATCTCAGTGGATATATAGGTAAATTAAGACGCACACACATAGATACACACATATTCACACAAACACACACACACACACACCACACACTGGAAAGCTATTCAACCTTTAAGAAGAAAGAACCCTGACATCTGTGGCAAGCTAGCTAGAACTCTGTGGAAGAACTTGAACCCAGAGGACACTGTGCTAAGAAGTTAACCAGGCATAGGAAGACGAGCACTGCCCGACCCCTCATTGGAGTGTCGGGGCCAAGTCCCAGCTTCCAAGCCAGCTTCCTGCTACTGCACAAAGCAGAATGGAGTGTTGGTCTCTACTTTGGCCTGGTCCTGACCAGGCTGTTGCGGCCATTTGGATAGTGGACTAGGGATAGACGGTCTCTCTCTGCCTCCGTCTTAAAAAAAAAAAAAGAAAGAAACATACCCCACCCTAACTGGTCTTTAGATAAAACCTAGTATTTTACTTCATTTATTTCACATTCTGAAGACCATGCTGATCTACTCACCCTGCCCACAGACCTGCTTGAAAAGGGAGTTCTGCCATCTTAGTATCCAACGTGAGAATGCTGAATTTTAAGTACTAAAATGCTGTCTGTAAAATACTGTATACATAAAAGTTGATGTCAGCCATTTAGGAACGTATACTTGGTGACAGTATACAGCCAAGTGTGAAATTGTCCACCATCACTGCCACCAGTAACTAAGAACTAGGCTAAGCATCCACTCCTATGTTTGTTGAACTTTGGATCTAATTTTTACTTTATTAGTGTGCTCACTAAATCATGATATAAAATTCATTTTTTTAACTGAGTTTTTTTTTTTTTGTTTGTTTGTTTGATTTACTTATTTGAAAGAAAATGTCAGAGGGAGAGATAGAGAAAAAGAAATTGTCCATCTGCTGGTTTACTCCCCTGAGGGCTGCAACAGCCGGTACTGGGCCAGGCGGAAGTCAGGAGTTGAGAACTCCATTTGGGTCTTCCTTAGGCATGTTAGCAGGGGTCTGGATTGGAAATAGCCAGGGACTCTAGTCAACACATGTGCACAGTGCTTACTCCTGAGTTGTCATAAAATTTTTTTTTTAATTAAAAAAAATCTCATTTCAGGAATTTCAAAACCCATTTAATGTTAGGTTTTAGCTCTGATATTTAGAGACCTTGTTTAGATTAATAAAATGAAAATGTAGTGACTGGGAGTTTTTTCCTGTGTCTTAAAGAAGCAATGTAGCTCATTTTAAGATGCTGATATAATAATGGAGACTTAAGAAAATAGCTAAAGGGAAATTTCCATCATAAATGTAGATTTCACAGTCCTTTACCAACTGATAGTAAACTGAACCCAGCAATATAAAAATATGGGATGACAAAAAATAATAAATAAAGGATAACATGTTGATGCCTGATATCCTTGCATTTTTTCCAGCAATGCAAAACAAATATTGATTAGTATCCATATATCAATTTAACTTCCTAATTAACATTCAAAAACCACATGATTCTTTTTAATTAGTGTAGATGAGCATTTGACAAAATTAAGGTTTCATTCATGAAAAAATTTATCAGAAAATTAGGGTCCTCACCTTGAACACTCCAGGATCCCACATGGGCGCTAGTTCACACCCAGCTCCCTGCTTGTGGCCTGGGAAAGCAGTCCAGGACGGCCCAAGGCCTTGGGACCCTGTACTCATGTTGGAAAGCCAGAAGAGTCTTTGGGCTCCTGTCTTCAGATCGGCTCAGTTGTGGCTGCTTGGGGAGTGAATCATTGGATGAAAGATCTTCCTCTCTGTCTCTCCTCCTCTCTGCATATCTGACTTTCCAATAAAAATAAAGTCTTAAAAAAAGAGGGGGCATATTTGTAAATCCAACTGATAATGTCGGTAACAGTGAGGCCATTTCTTCTCAGCAACCTCTTAATGTTGTGCTTGGAAGCCTATCCAGATTCTAGTCTGCTGTATGGCCAGAAAAATAAGTAAAAGGCATAAAAATTAAAAAAATAATAATTAAAACAATCTCTGCAACCAACATGATAAAGTGTATAAAAATGGTTGAAGTTTAAAAACCTTGCGGTATCGAATGTTGACAGTGGTATGAAATAACAAGAACTTTCATAAATTACTGCTAGCCGTGTTTAATAGTATAAACAGGGGCAGGCATTTGGCTTAGCAGTAAACCAGTTAATATTCCTGGGCTCCACACTGGAATACCTGGGCTCCATTCTCAGCTGCTTCTCTGGCTCCGGCTTCTGGCAGTGCAGACCGCGGAGGCCGCAGCGACAGCTGGGGAGTTTGAGCTCGTGCCACTCACATGAGAGACCTACATGGCCTTTCTTCACCTGACCTCAGCTTTGGCTTCCGCCCTAGCCGTGGCTGTTGTCGCCCTTTGTGGCGGGAACCAGTATTTGGAAGAATTTTCTCTCTCTCTCTCTCTAATTAAATAACAAGTTAATTTTAAAGTAGTGCAACTACTTTACAAAAACATTTGACAGTTTTTGAAAAGATTTATTTATTTGAAAGATAGAGTTAGAGGGAGAGACAGAGAAAGATCTTCCAACTGGCATTTCACTCTGAATGGTCGGTCACAACAGCCAGGGCTAGCCCAGACTTAAGCCAACAGTCTGGAATTCCATCCGCACTAACCACCTGTGCCACAACATCCGCACTGTTTTGCTTTGAGTCGCGTACTGAAGAAAAGGCCTGTCATACAGTTCTATGCTTGAATACCAGTTTTACTTGTAATGGACATAAGCTAGAAATAAGCCAAGTGTCCCTCAACAGGCAGATGGGTAAGTAGATTCTGATGTGTTCATACGAAGCAATGCTACTCAGGAAAAGCAAAAACTACTGTTGGCATTACAAAGCAGGAGTAATTCTGAAAAGAGTGTGTCAAGCATGTTCTTATATAAAAGAGTGCCAGCTGCACAGTGCCACTTCTAGGGGATCCAACACCAGGGTAGGCTGTGTAGGTGGACGAAGCAGGTGAGAGCTGATGATGGGGCAGCACTGGCTGCAGAGCAGAGCAGGAGAGCTCTGTGCTCTCTGCTTCCACCTTGGTGGTAGTTCACATTCGTAGATACTCACTGTGCTTTGTTGCATGTAAATTGCACCCCACTGAAGTTAATTTCTTTTAAAAGAGTTGGGCATTTAGAAAGAAATAAGTGAAAGTACTTGTAGGAAAAAAGAATCATCTGATTTAGTTTCTCAGGGAGAGGGAAGGTATGGGTGGAGACGAGAGGTGGTGTGGCTGCAGGACCATGTGTGCTGAGTTATCATTTATAACTTAAGTGATATCTAGAGTGTTAAGCCTCAGTTCATGAAAACAACAATATTTTTTTTTTTTTACCTTTAATCACTTGTGTTTTACAGTCAAATATATAGAACTAATTAGAGGTATCATTTGGTCAGAAGTCATTTAATATTCAGTTTCCTCATAAACACTGTGTTTCTAGAACTGAATTTAGACTGCAGGATGTATTGCTCTTCATTATTCTTTTTAAAAATGAAAATTTTATTCTCAACATGTTCTTTGTAATTTTTATAACAATGTAGATACCAAACCTAGGTGAACTTGATTTTAATTTTGTTCATTGTTACTTCTCTTTGTTCACCTGTTTTCATCAGAATAAAACTTACTGTAGTTTGTGCTGAGATTGGCATGAATTTCTCACACAGTGATTTGAAGCTGCAGTTCCTCTGGGAATGATTGTTTCCCTGCGTGGTGATTGGCTGCCACTTCCCAGGTTTTGAGTGTAATAGGCAGTCAGAAGGTCGGCCCAAAGCAGAAGACACTGGGGAGTTTTTTTCATCGTGAAGTTTATGATTGGATTACAGTTTGGAAAGTGGGTGTCCTTGATGTAAGTAGAGCTTAAAACACAGAAGAAGGATGCTTCTCACGTGAAAATATTTGTAGAGGAAAGACAAAGGTTCTGTTTATGGCTTATTCTCCAGGAAAACCCCACCAAGCAAGTGAAACACAGAATGTGATTGCATCGGACAAGGCGGCAGACGTAGCGGTTGTCCGTGAACATGAGCATGGACATGACCACACGCAGCTCCATGCCTACATCGGTGTTTCCCTCGTCCTGGGCTTCGTGTTCATGTTGCTGGTGGACCAGATTGGCAGCTCCCACATGCATGCTACTGATGGTGAGTGGCTGTGGATCTTTCTGGAAAGGCAGTACATTTGTAGTTTAGAAAGTTAGAGAAGTAAAGAATTCAGTCTGCATCCTTGACCTTAGTATAGTGTTGACGCTCTTGTCTTCCTTGGGCTCCTGTGAACATTTTATTCACTTAGGGGAGCTGTTGAGTTGTGGATGTGGCATAGAGAAGTGTTTATTGGTTTATTACGCCGCTTGTCTTAGAGTTGTTACATTTGGTTAAGGGGAGGGCAGAGGTTTTTAGCCTTTTGAAATATTGTTTTTAAATTCTTAAAGCATAGCTAGTAGGATTACCAAAGAAAACAATTATGTTGAAATATTGTTAGCAGAGCAGAATAAATTTGTAATTCCATAACGCATTCCATCTCTTTATAATTGACCAGATAATACATTAAGTCCTAAGCAAGCTAGACCTGAAGCTATTATTGCTAGGTGGCTTACAAGCATTGAATTATAAGATATCTTTAACAAGCCAACACTTGAGCTAAGTTCAGTGTTCAGTTGTTGTTTGTTAATGGCTGTTAATATAGAATGTCCTGATTTACAAAGATTTTATAACAAATGTACTAAAACACAGTAGTAGCTTCTCTTGAGCAAGGACAGCTAGAATTCTAGATTAGTTGAATGATAAATTGTGATATGCACACCGTTATATAGCTTGAGAAAAAATATAAGGAATGAGATATCTGAATGCATAGGGGCCAGTTTTCAGGAGATATCATTCAGTGAAAGGAAAGTAAAAAATGTGGGTGAGCATCTAGAGCGTACAAAGGAAGTGAATATATGTTTGCTTATTACAAAAACCAAACAATATGCCACATACAGGGTCAGCTGGAAAACAAGCATTTGTTCACCAGTATGCCATGGGCTGGAGGAAGTGAGTTCCAGGCTCCTGCAGGGAGCAACCCTGACTGTTGGGCGTTTGGAGAGAGAATCAGGAGATGAGAACCCTGCCAGTCTCTGTCTCTCTTCCTTATCTGCCTTTTCCATTGTAAACCTTTGTTTTTGTATGCTAAGTACCTCAAAAATATTAAATACAAACAAAAATTAAAAGGAGGGAAAAGAAGGGTTTTTTCCTTTTTTTTCTTTATTTTTGACAATCTTTGCATAGTTAATTAGGGCACAAAGGTTCAAGGGCTACAGGAAAGTCAGTAAGACTATTTCCACATTGGTTTTTTTCCTATATCTGGGGTAAAGGGGGAGATAAAGGGAGAAATGAAAAGTTTTAAAGAGGGCGTAAAAATAATTCCCTGGAATTTATTTGACTGATATCTGTCTGTCATTTGACCTGGCATTTTGATGTCCCTCATTTCAGATTATATAATGTTGATGCTGTTTATGTATTTGCCTGCTAACATCTTCATATGAAACAGCTAAATCTTTTTACCCTCCAATAAGGATTTTTAAGGTAATTTCAATGGTAGCCTCCTCCCCATTGAGGAGATTTTTTTTTTTAAATATTTTATTTTATATTGGAAAGGCAGATATACAGAGAGGAAGATCTTCCATCCACGGATTCAGTCCCCAAGCGGCCACAACAGCCAGAGCTGAACCGATCTAAAGCCAGGAGCTTCTTCCGGGTCTCCCACACGGGTGCAGGGTCCCAAGGCTTTGGGCCGTCCTCGACTGCTTTCCCAGGCCAGAAGCAGGGAACTGGATGATAGCAGGCCCAGCAGGATTAGAACCGGCGTCCATATGGAATCCTGACATGTGCAAGGCAAGAATTTCAGTTGCTAGGCTACTGAGCCAGAACTGCAATAAGAATTTATTAAGCGTCATTTTTGGGTACCACAGGATTGAGTACCCAAAAATGAGGCAGAAATGTTGAAGAGAAAAGTAAAATATTTCTTTGTTGACTATAGTCAATCTGGAAATATACAATATTTTTTAATAGAAATAGCGGCAATGTAAAGAAATCCTTGGAGTAGTATCGGAAAGGAGTTCTCTTTAAAAAAAATTTTTTTTTTCATTGTATTTGCAACACAGAAACAGATCTTCCATTCACTTATTCGCTTCCCAAATATCTGCAATAGCCACAGCTGGGCCAGAAAGAAGGATTCTCTCAGTGCCAGAAGCCTGGACTCTATCTGGGTCTTCTAAACGAGTGGCTAGGACCCAGTACTTGGGCCGCTGTCTGCTGCCTTCTGTGGTATGCATTGACACGAAACAGGAATTGAAATCCAAACTAAGGCGGGACCCCAGGCACTTAATGGGAGGCACGTCTCCTAAGTGACATCTTAAATGCTGTGCCAAATGTCACATCACGGGGAGCTGTTTTAAGTTGGAATTAACCTTTGGTTCTGTCTTAGGGATGGTAGGCCTGGATTTAGACTTGCAGCAGTATCTAGGTTTTAAGTTGAGCAGAAGGGACACTGAATACTTGCCAAGAATTAGGGTGAGGAGATTCTCTGGTAAGAATGTTTTTGTAAGAAGGTGTTAAACTGGCTCAGCTGGATTTGATAGGGAAAGGCAACATAGAATCAGTTGATAAAGGGCTTACGAACCTACCTAATAGCGCTCTTGGGTCTGAATTTGAAAAGCAGCAGATTCTTAACTACTTAATTGACACATCACAAGAAGAGGGTTCTGAAAAATACATGTGACAAGGACATGTAAGATGAATTAGGTAAGGGGAAAATGAGAGTAAGGAAAAACCAGTGGCAGCCTATTACTAATTCAGGTTTGAGTTGGTGAAGGTTTAGGTTAAGATGTTGGCAACAACAGGAAAGGCAGATATGACAGATAGCAGGATGAAAATGAAGTTTCAGGAGACTGGAGGACATATGCGCTGACAAATTGCTGAGGAGAACCGGTCTGAGGCGATAGGCACCTTCCACGGGAGAGCAGGAAACGAAGGAGTGTGAGTTAGTTGGCAGCTGAATTTGTATGTTTAGGGAAGACTGGTTCTAATAAGTTCTCGCCTGCCTGCCTTTTGAGAGCAGGGAAAATATCTAGGTGTTTGAAACAAAGAAGAGACAGCAATAAAAAAAAAAAAGTAACACTCTAGCTTAGAGACTTTTAGAAAATTCTCCCACCTCCGGCCTGATGTTCAGTTTCTGCCTCACATTATTGCTTTCTCTGTTTCACATCAGATCCAGAAACCTCAAGGCCTAGCAGTTCCAAAATCACCACCACGCTGGGCCTGGTCGTCCATGCTGCAGGTAGGCTTCAGCTGCATTGGAGCCTTGTGGGTTTTGGTCATGCGGGAAGGCATGTGTTTATATTCCTGGGACCGTCCACAGTGAATGCTCTTGGGCTGACCTTGGCAAAGGTTGCTAATGAAGTCCTCCAGCACAAACTCTGCATACCCTGTGTCAGTCTGCAAGCTAAGGATGGTACCTGTTATTTCTAATGGTTGGTTATTTTAAAAAACTATTTCGTGGTATATGAAAATTATATTTCAGTAGTTTTATTGGAATACCACTATACCTACATGTTCGTGTATTTTTTTAAATCCGTTTACTCATTGGTGCATCCCTAAATGTCCATAATGATTGGAACTGGGTTAAGGCCAAAGCCAGGAATCAAGAAGTCAGTCCAAGTCTCCATGGGAGTCGAATGAGCCCTGTTACCTGAGTTATCACTGCTGCTTCCCAGGAAGCTGGAGTTGGAAGCCGGAGTGGGGAATTGAACCAGACACTCTGGTATGTGATGTGGAAGCTTACCTGGCTAACCTAAGTGCCTGCCATTGTGGCAACAACAGACTTTTGTAGCAAGAGACCAAATTGCCTCACAAAACCCAAAATATTTACTACTAGGCCCTTTAAGAAAAACTTTTCTGACCTCTGCTCTAGAATCTTATCAGGGTAAGATATTTGGCAATTTTTTATTGAACAGTCTTGCTGCCTGTGTGTACCCAAGAGTCATGGTTAAGTAGATGTGGTCTATAAAATGCAGAAATCCCAGCTTTGCTATTGGGTCACGATTTAGAATTTAACTCAAACTGAGTTTCAAGAGAAGGATTGTCTCAGTGAATGACAAGCAATGACATGTCAAAGGTGGCACATTGGTGTGCCAACTTCTAGAGTGGTGTGCTTTCCCAGTAAAATTCCTCCGTTCAGCTAATACTTACTGTGTAGAAATCATCTATGGGAAATATTCGAGTTTTTGTCTCATCTGTAATGTACAGAGATGGCTGACTTCGAAATTTTTCTCTGACATTTCTGTTATGATAATTAACCGGTGGATTTTTGAATGCTATGCCTTTTCTGTTAACAACAGAAGTAACATAGTGAATACTCCAGGCCAGGTGTTGCGCTCTTTACATATGATATCTCCTTTAATATTATGGAAACCTTAAAAATGCATGCTTTACTGAAACGATTTTAATGATGCCAAGGCTGAGGTTCAGAAAGGGTAGCGTTCCAGAGGTTGATCCCACTCTTCCTGACCTGAAAGCCCACCCACTCAGCCACTATGCCATTGCTGTTGCTATTTATAGTGCTTTGTTTTGCTTGTTCCTCTGTGTAGCTGATGGCGTTGCTTTGGGAGCGGCAGCCTCCACCTCACAGACTAGTGTCCAGCTGATTGTGTTTGTGGCAATAATGCTACACAAGGTAAGCAGAACTGGGTAGGAGATTTAATACTTAATTTGTTCATAATTGAAGTTCTCTTGGCTCTTACGTGTTTTTCTGGGTGGGAAAGTTACTTTTAGGGTTGCTGTCATTTGGAAAACTAACTGTATCTATTCCTAAGTACTTTTTGCTACTGTTTTCTTGAGCTTTAATATTTTTTGTCTGTAAATACAAAGTGTTCAGTCTTCTGTATTTCATAGTAAATTTTGACTAAGAATTTTCTTTTTCTTGTTTTCCTTTCTCCCAAGAAGCACCCATGACACAAATAGGATCTCTTGTTGGATTAGGGTGTGAATTTCCGAAAGGCAGAGAACTCCATCTTTTTTTTTTTTTTTGCCTTATTTATTGTTATTATTATTTATCATTTTATGATACAGTTCCATAGGCTTCTGGGATTTCCCTTAACCCCTCCCCTTCCCCGCCCCCACCTAGAGAACTCCATCTTGGGTACTGTGCCTGACTTTTGGATTTGAAAACTCGCAGTCGCATGACATCTTCCTCTTGATGTAGAAGCAATCCATACTTCTGGAATTTTTTATTTTCAGGCACCGGCTGCTTTTGGGCTTGTTTCCTTCTTAATGCATGCGGGTCTAGAGCGGAATCGGATCAGAAAGCACTTGTTGGTCTTTGCACTGGCAGCACCAGTTATGTCCCTGGTGACATACTTAGGACTAAGCAAGGTAAGCATTTCTAGCTTATCTAGATAAGCTGCTGCTTCTGTTGGAACATAAGATTTCTTTTGAATTATTACTTATTTCTGAGACAGAGAAAGACAGAGACTTCCTATCTACTGGATGGCCTCCCCAGTAACCACAGCAGCCAGGGCTGGCCAAAACTGAAAACTAGGAACCAAATCCAGGTGTCCCATGTGGCTGGCTGGCACCTGGTTAATTTGAACTGTCAATTCTGCGTCCTGAGGTCTGCACCTAGGGGAAGCTGGAGTTGGGAGCCAAAACCAGGAGTTGAGCCCAGCGGGCATTCCATTATGAGAAAACATAGGTGTCTTAACTGCTAGGCTACGTGTGTGCACCTTGTGATTTTTGAATGTTGAAGTTTTGAACTAAATGGCCCTGACAAACTAAAGATAAAAGTAAAAGCCTCTATGAAGGTATGTCTTAATTCCAAGTCAATTGTTTTCATTAAATCTAGCATTTCCTTGTTCATCTGATTAGAAAACTTCCTTAAAAGTTCCAAGAATATTTGCACAAGTATGTGATACTATTTCAATACTTAACACATAACTTACCCAGTAAGTCAGAGCCATCAGCGCTTAATGTTGAGGTAGCCACATAAATCGTAAGTGGCAAGAGTAGAGTACATGCAGAGCTGGAACGGTATTTAGCTAAGACCCGCCTTCTTCTCCTGGCTGCAGACCCGGTGTGACTTGTGTCATTTGTCAGCATTCTGTTTCCAAGCAGGACCTTTCTGCGCTTTGTAACTGTTTGGGCTGCTGTGTAGCAGCAACAGCCCTACCCATTTTTGCCTAAGGTTACCTGCTGGGAAAATCTTCGAACCACACTGACTCCACCTGCTTTCCCACGTGCCCTCTGTGAAGGTCATCGACTTTGGAGTGTCAGATCGACTCAGTGTTTGATAAAATAAAACTTGCACTGAAAGGGATATGTGAAACATGAAATGGTTCATTTCCTGTTAATCAAGAGGTTATTGATCTCAGGAGTTAATTGTTACAGAACCCCTTTCTGTTCATCTCAAGTTCATCTCAACCTTACCTTCTTTCAATCAAGAGAATATACATTGATCCTTTTTTAAAAAGTGTGTGTGTGTGTATGTGTGAACTTAATTTGAAAGACAGATTTAACAAAGAAAAGAGAGTGAGGTCTTGCATCCACTAGCTCATTCTCCAAGTGGCTGCCACGGCCAGGGCTGAGCTGATTGAAAACTAGGAGGCGTGAGTTTCTTCTGGCCTCCCATGTGGGTGCACGGCCCAAGAACTTCAGTCATCCTTCACTACCGTCCCAGGCTGTAAGCAGAGAGCTGGGTCAAAGGTGGAGCCGTCAGGACATGAACTGACATCCATACAGAATGCTGGCATGGCCACAGGCAGGGAATTAGCCTGTATGCCACCCTGCCACCCCGATATCTAGTTCCTTTAAAAATATTATTTAGACGATCAAACCACTGCTGGCATCTCATAAGCACTGGTTCAAGTCCTGACTGTTGCACTTCCAGTCCAGCACCTAGGAAAGCAGTGGAAGATAGCCCAAGTGCTTAAGTGTCTACCCCCATGTGGGAGGTTCTGAAGCCCCTATCTTCTAGCTTCAGTCTGGCAGCCTTGTCCATTGCAGCCATGTGGGGAACAAACCAGAGCACGTGCTCTGCCTCTTCTCTCTGTGTAACTCTTTCAAATAAATAAGGCTTCAAAGAAATTACTCTCATCACTTCTTGGCCTTATAACTAAGATCAAATATACAATATATGAATTTTTAAAGATTTTTTTTTTTATCAGAACGATTTACAGAGAGGAGAGACAGTGAAAAAAATCATTCCCTGGGTGGCCACAGCAGCTAGAACTGAGCCGATCTTAAGCCAGGAGCCAGGAACTTCCTCCGGGTCTCTCATATGAGTGCGGGGTCACAAGGCTTTGGGCCATCTGCTACTGCTTTCCCAGGCCACAAGCAGGGAGCTAGATGGGAAGCAGGGCTGCCGGTATTAGAACTGGCGCCCATATGGGGATCCCGGAGCATTCAAAGCGATGATTTATCCACTAAGCAGTTGCACCAGGCCCCAAATATATTTTTTATCACTTCACGGGTCAATGTAAGTTTTTAGAACTTTCTTTATTATTTATTTATTTATTTTTAAAGATTTATTAATTTTTATTGGAAAGGTGCATATACAAAGAGGAGAGACAGAAGAAGATCTTCTGTCTGAAGATTCACTCCCCAAGTGGCTGCAACAGCTGCTGCTGAGCCAATCCGAAGCCAGGAGCCTCCTCCCGGTCTCCCACGCAGGTGCAGGGTCCCAAAGTCTTGGGCCATCCTCGACTACTTTCCCAGGCCACAGGCAGGGAGCTGGATGGGAAACAGGGCCGCCAGGATTAGAACCAGAGCCCATATGGGATCCTAGCACGTTCAAGACAAGGACCTTAACGCTACACTTTGCGCAGGGCCCTAGAGCTTTTTTCTTTCCTTTTCTTTTTTTAAAGGGAGAGCACAATCCCATGAATTGCCTGAATGTCCATAGCGGTCAGAAGCCAGGGGCTTGGGAGTTCAGTGTGGGGTAGGATCTGCCACCTCCTAGGGGCTGAAATGGTTAATTCATTAATAGGAAGCTGAGATCTGGAGCCAGAGGTGGATTGAACCCGTGCAACCCAAGGTGGCACATAGGATAAACAAACACCCTCTCTGCATATTCTTTTCTTAAATTATAATTAGACATCTTAGTCTACTTTTTTAATGGTAAAAGTTGAAATTAGCTGCATGGTGATTAGCTTATGAGGTGATTTTAAGCTCCGTGAGAGCAGCTACTGTATCTTGATTGCTAACTGCATCTCAGGCACTTGGCCTAGAACCTGGCGCACAGGGAATGCTTGTCAGATAGAGCGTACATGGATTCATGCCTGAGACATCTGCATTAATGTGCTGTGGACTCCATCGCAAGAAGAATGCCGGGAAAACCTGTTCAGCTGGCCCTCCAAGTTTGTTTTAAATAGCAAATGTGATAAATGTGGTTCATAATAGAATATTATTATATATCTAAAAATTACAAGGGAATAAATATTATATATTCCTACCACAAAAATGGTACGTAATTTGGGGTGATAGATCTGTTGCTTAGGTTGATTTAATTGTGTTTGTAAATCATATTTTGTATGTCTCCATAAATACTCATATATATATTCATACACACACACACAATTATAAGTTGCCAGTTTATACTAAAATTTCTTAAGGCAAATGTGTCCATTACTATTATTTTCCAGGCCTATCTGGAACCTTCTTGTCAACAAGTACGATAAAATCACTCTGAATGCAAAACAGCTTCACGTGTCCGAACAGTTCTAGGTGTGAATAGTCAGTGTTGCATGGGGACTTCTTTCCTGAGGCTGACCTGACTCCGTTTTTTCGTTCTCTCTTTTAATTCACAGAGCAGTAAAGAAGCCTTGTCAGAGGTCAATGCCACTGGAGTAGCCATGCTTTTCTCTGCCGGGACCTTTCTTTACGTGGCCACAGTACATGTCCTCCCTGAAGTGGGCGGAATGGGGCACAGCCACAAACCGGACACCGCGGGAGGGCGAGGCCTGAGTCGCCTGGAGGTGGCAGCCCTGGTTCTAGGTTGTCTCATCCCACTCATCCTGTCAATAGGACACCAGCACTAGATGTTCAGGCTCCAGCCCCACACTGTGGCTGTCCTCCAGTGAGAACAGGCGGCTCGTGAGAGCTTCTCACTTCCTCAGTCTCTTGTCTGGCCTTGCCCATCTCCACCTGTATTCCTAGAGTCTGGAGGGAGGTGAGATGAAAACCTGGAGAAATGGGAATGCTTTTAGAGTAGAAGCAACACATTACAATTAGATATAGACATTCCATTGTGTTGTCTTTGGATTCTGAATTTCGATGTTTCTATTAACCCTATTCTCAGGGAAGATGGAATTTAGTTTTAAAGAAAAGTGGAGACCTTCATACTCACAATGAAATAGTAATTGTGAAGGTACAATGTTCTGTAACGGATCTAAAGTCTTTCTTGTTGGTTTCAAGGCTCTGGTGCCTATTCATCCATGTGTGATATGGTTCTCACCATGTAGGCCTGAAGCTTTAGCGTCTGGGCCATTGCCTTGAGAGAAGGTCTTAGCACCCAGTCTCTTAGAGATGAGGGTGACTGCGGTCCATTGGGGAATTGATGCAAGTCACCGAAGGTGACTTTATACTTGGAAGAGCTGTGCCTGGAAAGGCATGTCAGCAGAGACTTAGACACTCATTCTGCACGTGCCTCTCGCAGTACAGTCTGCCATCCCTCGTGGGTGGAGCTGGCTGCTGAAGAGGTGACCAGGCCTTTGGAGCATTGCTTGTCATGTTCTCTGTTGCAGAACACCTGGCCCTAGCACATTGTTCAGAGGAGCTGAGTTCAGCTAAGGTCAGGTCTATGCTTTCCTTTGAGAACAATTAAAACACAATTTATCTTTGGAAATGAAGGGATACTAAATTTTAAGTGAATTTGAGTAATTATTGACATCTTTGTAGTAACCTTTTAAAAATAAGACTACCAAAACCTGTGAAATTTTTGTTGTTGTTGTTTCTTATATGTGTTTTTCTCTCTGGCTAAACACTTGGTCAGCTTGGGGTGCTGTGTATCTTTTCACAGGAGGCCCTGACTGAAACAGTAAGGAAGGTCTGTCGGTGTCACACCTGGGCAGTGTTTGCCTGTCGGTTGAAAGCTTATTGAAATCATGTCTGTCTCTTCATCTCTTCCCTGCTTTTCTTCTCCTGTTTCCCTCTGGGCTCCCTCCCCACCACCTGCTGCTCACTGCTGATGGCGATGTCCATCCTTGCGTGAGATGAATCCTCGCGAGGACAACCACTTACTGAACTGTGATGGTGATGCTAACAGTGTCTGTCCTTCACGGAAGTCACCTTTGTGTCAAGTGCAGTTTGTTAAGTCCTTGAAATACCACCCCCTCGTGTGAGTGACTCCATCACCTTCAGACAACTGAGATAGCAGAAAGTGTTTAATAAACTAGGGGAATTTTTTTCATATTTGCCAAAATTTGCATAAGCCCTGTTTTGTCAAATAAGTGTATAATAATGTATTATTAATTTATTTTGATTTTCTGTACCATTTCAAAACACATTAAGAGGGAACAAAGACTGATTTGTTCAGGGTAGTGAGTTTAGTCATTTGTAAAAATGTTTTATAAAAAAAATGAGGCAGAAGCCAGCATGCCGTGGTTGCTTTTTTTTTTTTTTTTTTTTTTTTTTTTGTTCTTTTCTAGATTTGTCACTACTGGGTCAGCAGCTGTGGAAGTAAACTTGCAGACCCTCTGCTGGCTGCAATGGAGAAAGCAGCAAAAAAAAAAAAAATGTAGTCTTTCTATATAGTGGCTGGCAACCATTGCACAACATTTTAAAATAAAGAGGGACAGAAAGATTTTAGAGTCTGGCTTGGTTTGGATAGTAGTATTTTCTATAATATTGATGTGTGCAATGGGCAGAAGTTTGTGTCTGCTGGCCAAAGTCTCTTTCAGCAGTGCCTTGCCATCCTGCTTTAAAAAATTGGCTTGAATATCTCATAAGGATTGAACCATTCAACTTCCAAGTTTGCCTTCCCCCATGGACCTCACTGTTAACAAACCTTTCCAGACCTGTCAGCTCTCAGAAGCAATGGGCTTTCCCAGATTGCACAGCTGCTGCTTAGGGAGGTGCTTGTTCCTCTCCTGGGCAGCAGGCAGAAATAGCCATACACACCTTCCAGGGCTCCCAGGCAGCCAGGGGAGCCAGCAGCCCATGCAGAGGGAGGCTTGTTCCTGCCGTGGGCAGTATCCCACGAGAGGCCATACTAGTGCTCCCTCTGGCACATTTTGGTTCCGTTCCTCGTGTTTAAAACTGCCTCCTGAGATGTGGATGCCTTACTGCTCTGACACGTTGGAAGACACTGGTGAAACTGGAATTGCTGCCATGATTACAGATGGAATGATTGGCTACCAAAGAGGTGAGGTCAGTGGTGGGAGAGTATGGTCCTGCCTCAGAACCAAAGCGAATATCTAATTGCATTTCAGCTCCCTCCTCCCAGTGGAGATAGACTTCAGGTTCCAAGTGTCCTCCTAGAGGCAAGTGAAGTAGAACAACACTAACCCGCTCCCCTTCCCGACTCTCAGTTGCCATTTCACCAAAACGGTGATGTGCCAGATTGGATTCAGTTTTCTGTGTTTTGGGCAAAGGAACTACACCAGTACATACTGTTGGAAATGGAACTAATCAAAAAGCCTGTGTGTTCTGTCCACCTGCCCTGCCCCACTTCATCTTTTTATTTCAAAATAGCTGAGCTGCCTTTGTTGGAGTGTTTTAGCTCATTAGAAAAAAAGAAAGGGAGTGGCTGTTTTGAAGTGTCATTTCTTTGTAGAAAGGGGGAAAGTGTGATTTCTTTTTTGTAGCAGCCGATTTCTTGGTGTTTACCTAATTTTTCAAGAATTAGAACTAGGAGGACACACCAGCGCTGCAGGGTGTTACGTCCCTGGTACGCAGTAGCTGGGTTCTGAACCTGGGAAATTTATGTCAACAGCACAAGCCTCCTCCCAGCCCAGAATGTTCTGCCTTTCGGATCCCTTGGACTGAGAGTAAAGACCAGATCCACCCCTGCCCCTGCTGCAGTGCAAGGTTAGAGCCCTCCATGGATGTTCTGTGGGGGACGCATCCTTGGGTTGGAAACTCCCTGCTTGCTACAGAGTGGCCCCCAACACCCACTGTTGGAGCTGCTGTGATTTGAAGCCTCGGGACGTAACCTGTGTGAGCTGGAGACACCTCAGTTCACCGTGGGAGACCTGAAGATCAGTGGCTTATGAGAAAGGATGAGACGGCCATCAATAGATCTAACACAGTTGCTGAACACGGGAGCCTGGCCTTGACCTTTCAGCATCTTCCTGCAAGTTGGAGTCTCCTGGGAGATTAGGAACACACTACAATTGCCTTGGCTCGGTGGCCTGGGCAGTAGTTTTAAATGTCCCTTTTTCTGGATCCTTTGTAAACATGAAATCATTCCATGGATGGCTGCCTTATGATTTTGTCTCTTTCCACTTTAATTGTGAATGGTTAAATAATTGTTTCCTGATTTGTTTTATGATATTAAATTTTTATTAGTGCACATCTTATGTGAGTGGCTTATTGCAGTCCTCCTGACAGCTTGTTTGAAGACCAAACCAGACCTACACTGGGGCATCATGAAAGGTAACAGAGCTGTGAAAGACACTGGAAAGGTGTTCCTACAACACACACGTCCTTTAGGGAAGGAAGGGAAGACTGAGTGCAAGGTAGCATCTTATCTACAGAAAACATGGAGTCACTGTTTGGGGTTTTGCCTTACCATTTTTTAAAAAAGATTAATTGGAAGACAAAAAGATCTCCCATTTGCTAGTTCACGCCATAAATAGCTGCAACTGTCAGGGCTGGGCCAGAGTAAGGCCAGGAGCCAAGACCTCCATCTGCGTCTCCATGTCCGGCAGGGACCACCTGCCGTATCCCAGGCACATTAGCAGGACGCTTTATTGCAAGCACAGAGTAGCTGGGACTTGAACCAGGCAGTCTGACTTAGCAGAAGGGGTCCCGGGTGGCAGCTTAACATGCTGTGCTGCCTTACCTTGGTTAGCAAGTACTGTTCATGAAAGCATCTCCCAGGAAAGATAAGCAGGCAACATGCCAGCCGAGGCAGATTCACCTGGAAAGGCATAGTATGTCTGTATGGATGCTGTTAGCAGCCAACCCTGGACGTAGAGATTTAAATAGAAGTAAAACGTGGATTTGGCCAATGTTTTCTCTCCTGTGGACTTTAATGCTGGGTCCCTTTCCCTTTTTACTTTAATATAATAAATGCTAGATCTGGCCATGTGTCATTGAGACCTCTGCTTTGTGCCAGTTTTCTGTATGTAACACACATACTACAGCTGGTTACTGGAAAAGCACTCTTCGTGAAGGAAACCAGCAAAGGAGATGTGTTAATGTGGAATTCCTGTGATTTCTGAGTTCAAATCCCAGCTCCTGTTTCAATTCCAGCTTCCTGCTAATATACCTACTAGGGAGCAGGTGAGGACCAGTTGGCTCCTGCCGCCCTCCCGGGGTACGCCAGCGGGCTCCTGCTTCTGGCTTCGTCCTGACCCAGCTGCTGTAGGCATTTGTGGGGTGAACCAGGGAATCTCCCAAGATCCTTGTCTTTCAAACAAAATGGAAATTTTTTTTTCTAATTTAGTAGTGGTGGAAGGACTTGACTAAAATACCCAGCCATTCTTTTTATCTGTGTGTGTGTGTGTGTATGTATGTTTGTTTTTACAAATGAGCTACTTCGTAGCATGGTATTTTATAATCTACGAAGTCAGCAGCCATGTATCTGGATTGCTGTTCCCCCAGCCTCCTCGCCTCCAGGTCTGGAGCCAAGGTCTGCTTGCATCAGGCCGACAGTGGCCACCTACTTGAGCGGTCTGCACCCTCGGGCTCCTTATGCTCTTCTGATTCTTTTTTCTGTAGTGTTGATACTTTTTTTTTCCCCTAGAGGAGGGAATTTTATTGAAAGATAGTGTGATGTGGAGAGACAGAAATCTTCCATCCACTGATTCACTCCCCAAATGTCTGCGTCTGTCAGCTAGGACAGGCCAAAGCCAGGAGCTAGGAACTCTGTCCTTGTGTCCTAGCAGGAACCTAGTATGTGAACCATCATCTGCTCCCTCCCGGCCATGCTGTCAGCAAGCTGGAGCAGAGCTGCAGGGAAGCCAGCTTCTGACATGGGATGTGGCTGTCCCAAGCAGTGGCTTGGCTTGTCCCACCGCACCAGTCCCGTTGGATCAACTTTCATATTCTTACTTTTTCAGTCTTTCTCCCCCTCCAGGGTATCACCTCCAGGCTCTCCGTAAACTGTGGTTGAATGAATTGGTCTACCTTGAGGGAACACTACCTTGAGGGAACCCCACCATTTCCATGTCGTCTTTCCTCAGCTGCAGGCCTGAACCCCGATAGAAAGCGCTGCCGACCTCATGTTGCTTTGCCTCTGCCTCCCAATTGGAGAGGTCTGTTTGCAAGTTAGCAACAGAAAAATCAGGCACAGGGCCTGGCGCCGTGGCCTAGCAGCTAAAACCCTCACCTTGAACGCTCCGGGTTCTAATCCCGGCAGCTCCGCTTCCCACCCAGCTCCTGCTTATGGCCTGGGAAAGCAGTTGAGGATGGCTCAAAAACTTGGGACCCTGCACCCGCATGGGAAATCCGGAAGAGGCTCCTGGCTCCCGGCTTCAAATCAGCACAGCACCGGCCATTGTGCTCACTTGGGGAGTGACTCATTGGAGTGAAGATCTTCCTCTCTATCTCTCCTCCTCTCTGTATATCTGACTTTGTAATAAAAATAAATCTTTTTTAAAAAAATCATCAAGAAGTCGAGGGAGATGTTGCTATGGTGCAGTGGCTTAGTTGTCTACTTGCGATGCTGGCAGCCCATGTTGGGGCACCAGGTCAGGCCGCCGCCGCTCTGCTGCTGCAGCTGCTTGTTACTGCACCTAGGAAAGCAGAGGGGGATGACTTCCCCATCCAAGTGGGAGATCAGGATGGAGTTGTGATGTCTGCCCTTGGCGTCACCCAGGCACAGCCATCTGGGGAGTGAGTGTCCAGGTGGGAAGTTCACTGGGTTCCTAATCCAGTGTCAACAGTCTTCAGCCATGTTTCATGGATTCTGGGATTGGAAGACTTGGATCCCATTTCTGGGGGAGCTGCTGATTGCCGCAGAGTTAGCACTGCCCAGCTTTTTAAATAGAAATTGAGAAACTTTGTGTGGGTGTTGTAGGGGAGGGGTGGCCGTGGGTGGGAGGAAGCATTTGACGACGCTGGGTTGATAGAAGCCCTTCTAAGGGTGCTAAGTCACTGCTACTGTGCCTTGTGACACAGGAATTCGGCACTTAGGGAGAACACAGTGGGCAAAGCATTACGAAGCAAGTCAGCTCCGGGCCCTGCAGGTGTGGTCAGGGGCTGTGAGACCCGAGCCTAGCCAGCAGAGGACGCAGTTAGGAGGTGGGCAGGAAATCCTTCAGGGGTGAGGCCTGATGGCTACCAAGAACATGTGCCTAGGAGGTGCTGCTGGCTGGAGGAGGAAAAGGCACATGTGGGAGTTTGTGCTGCTTCAAAACTCAACAGCAAATTGGATCTAGACATGGTCTTTATAATTCTGACTGCTGCTCTGAGCAATGAGCTGTGGTCCTGGCTGGCCTGACTGCAGCTGTCCTCCAGTACAGTAGTCAGCAGGCTCCAAGTGATAATGTCTCTAGGGACGCCTCTGACCCCCACAAGGTGGAGCTGGCTTGTGGTAGGTCCAGGTTCTCTCCAGTGCAGAAAAGAATTCGGGTTAACAGGGTAAGATTTATTAGCCAGGTGAAGTCCACACTCAGTGTAGGCAGGGCTGGAGAGCAGGCTGCTTCCTGTGAAGTGACAGGTCACCCCTTTATGTGATCTGGAGATGGGGAGGTGGGAAGGGTGGTGCTTTGGGTGGAGATTTCCAGCAATTTGGTGACTTCTCATTTTCCTTCCTTTTAGGAAGTGTCAGAAGTAACCTGGCATCAGGTGCATGCTGGGAGCAAGAGTGTCAGCCATGGTTATTATTTTGCGGTGATGATATTACAATGGGATGTAGTTCATCACAGAATGTGTTAGGCCACCGTTGTTGGAGATTTTTTGTAGCTGATGCTGCCTGCTCACACCCCCCCCTGCCCCCCGCAGCTTTGCTACAATAGCAATTTTAGGTTGAAAAAGTGACAGAGGGAGACAGAGAAAACCTACATCCACTGGTTCACCCCTCAAATGGCTGCAACACCTGGCCTGGGCCAGACAGAAACCAGGAACCTCAATTATGTTCTCTCTGTCCCTTTTTCCATCCTGTTCAGGATTTGGAAAAACCAGGAGTGTGTGTGTGTGTGTGTGTGTGTGTGTGTGTGTGTGTGTGTGTGTGTGTGTCAGGTGGGGGGGAACAAGACAAAATAAACAAAAACATGCTGTTGGGTCTAGAAGAAACATCCCAAGATGACAGGTAAGGTAACCTGTCTGAGACCTTTTCACTGAGCACAGCCTCTGTACTGACCCCATAAATGTACACTTCTTTTCTGCACGAGGGACCAACACCCCGGCTCTCTTAGTGGCTGCCATGAAAGGATGTGTGACGCTGGAACAATGAATGGCTATGGGCTTGCTGGCCAGAATTCACCTCTATCCCTCACCCCAAATCAAACACTACTTGCTGCCAGAAACAAAATGAATGTTTTCATGCACACATCACCCACAGGAGGGAGCTCTTGAGTCTTCAGCGTTTCCTAGCCTTGTGCAGCCCAGGGCAAATTCCCTTGGACACCTAGAGCTCACAGTAGTGCCATGAAGTAACTGGTGGCTGGAAGGCCAGGAAGGCCCTCCTGTGAGCAGGAGAGGAGGGGAAGGGGTCTCGGGGGTGAGCAGCTGGGCAGTGAGAGGACAGGAACCTAGCAAAAGGTTGATCCTACTGCTGACAGCAAAACCTACAAGGGGCCTTTTAAAAGTTCATGGAAAATGCAAATTACAAAAAGACTAGGCATGGATTTTTTTTTTTCTAATTGCAGTAAAATCTCTTAATTCCCTTATTCCATCAACTTTTGAAATCCCCTTGTACCCAGTCTAGTGCAAGGGAAACCAAATTGACATCTTGCTCTTGGTGCTTTGTTGAGTTTCTCATTGCTGTAATGATGCATAGGCAGGCCAGCATTTTAAAGGTTTGTTTAACTCACAGTTTGGGAGTTGGCCCCGCAAGAACCCCACTCCCCTGCCCTTGACTGTCGCTTCATGGCCAGTGATGATAGCAGGAGCATCACCCTACAGGAAACCACACAGTACTGGCTCAATGTCACAAGATCCTTAGGAATCCTACTTTGATAATGCTTTTGAATGACCCGAGGACCTCCTTCGAGGCTCACCTTGTGGAGGTCCTCGCCCCCACCCATGGAGAGCCAAACCTCTGACACAGGCACCCCTGGGGGACACACCACACACAGCGGCGGCTGCCACAGCGGCTCCAGCCAGGCCTGACTGCTCTCTCTCCTGGTTCCAGATAAGACCAGGCAGCCCTGACGCACTTGATCAGGTCAGGGGCTAGGCTGGCACTTGGCTTGTTTTGTCTTCAGCAGAACTATCAGCTAAACAGCCAGCACTCCCGCCAACTGGGGAAGCACAAGTGGGCTTCTTGCAGGGCTGACCTGACCTGGCAGCTCCAGACTGGTTCATGCAGGGGGACAGAAGGCACACAAGTGTCCAAAGCTCCATCAGACTCACACTGCTGACCTCAAATGGCTGCAAGTGGCAGAGCCTTCACCTGTCAGCTAAAGTCTTGGCATGCAGAGGGGGCAGGCAAGGATTGGATCCTTTCTGGTTTTTTTTTAAGTTTTACTTGTTTTAATTGTTATTAACATTGTATTATGTGGTACAGTTTTATAGGCACTGGGATTCCCCCAGGATCCTTTCTGTTAATCAGAGAAAAACCTGCACCCAATTCTGCTCTGAGAGCCCCAGGGCCTTCCCAGGGCTCTCTCAGCCCTGGGAAAGGACTTCTGGATGATGCCAGGCAGCCTGCCTGTCTCCGGTGCTCCCCTCTGGTCTCTGCTCTTGGCTAGTTACCACAAGCAGCCCAGGCCACCACTGACCTGATTCAGCAGAAAAGGAATGAATTTATTGAAATGAATGGTGGGGGGAGGGTGGCATAGAGAGCCTGGGCTACAAGGACGCTTCCAAGAACAAAGCCCTAAAGCACGCTTTGGAGGAGGTGGCCTTAGTGGAAAGCTACGGCTGTCCCCAGGCTGCCTGGAGCCCATCTCCCTGCCACTGTGCTGCAGCCAGAGTCTGCACTGCTCCTGCACTGAGAATGCAACCTGCAGCTACCCCCGAGGTCCAGAGCAGGGCACCGCCTTCCATGAAGGGCACCTGCTTGCATTTACACTTGCCTCACATTTGTCACAACTCCCTGTCCTGTCCCCCTGCCCACGATGAGCACCCTCCACCCCTCAGGTTTCTTGAGACCAAGAGATGCTCAGAAATAGGAAGGTGTATCAAGCCTTTCTAGATGCTAGCCAGAAAAGGGGCAAGACAGCACCCAGATGTCTGTCCCCATAAACCCAGGGCATCTGCATCAGGTCACACGGGGGAAGGAAACACGGTTGCTTACGCTGGCGGTATAACACGGGGTGAGGACAGCCCTGCGTCCGGAGGACAGTCCCTAGAAGGACATGTATGCTGGTGGCCTTGCTAGGACAGGGACAAGGACGGATGTGGCGGCTGCCTTGGTGTCTGCACACATTTCGCAAATGTGAGATACTTCTTTGTGTGTGGGCAGCAGCTGTCAATGGATTCAGTCCTCTTCTCTGCCTCTTCATCACGTGGCAGAATTTAAGAAAAACAAAAGCCTTATTTAAAAAATTTATTTGAGAGGTAGAGACAGTGAGAGACAGAGACCATCTAGGTCACTCCCCAGATGCCAACAACAGCCAGGCCAGGGGCCAGGCAGTCTAGGTCTCCCCGCAGGGGGCAGGAACTCAGTCCCTGGGGCCATACCCTGCTCCCTCCTGGGGCACGCCTTAGCAGGAAGCTGGAGTCCAGAGCACAGCTGGGACTTGAGCACAGACACTGGAGACAGGATTTATTAACCTGCAAGGTCAAAAACCTTTCCCCCCTCCTGCTCCCCACCCGGCTTGGCAACCCAAATTTCTCTCATCATTCCTAACATGGATTTTAGCTTCCATCTTGGAAAAACAAAGATTGCCCCAAAGTGGGAAGCTTCCTAAGCATTTGAACATATGTCAAACATAGGCACAAACATGAAATATCCCCTTGGAACCCACCCCTGGGTGCTCACCATCATTATCTTCCAGCTCGTTTCCTCCCACTTGGAGTCCAGTGTCCAGCTGCGTCCTGGGGTGTACTGCAGAGAACCCCCAGCCGCGAGAGACCCACCCCCCCCAAGGCAGGTAGCCCCTCTGGATGGAGACTCAGGAAGCCCCCCTGGAAGGTCCCCCTTCTTAACTATATTCCTTAACTACATTAAAAGTAACTCCTGAGGCAGAAACTCCTGAGGGCGGGTAAGAGATAAGAAAGAGCCAGGCAGGTAAGACAACAGGTATACCCCATCCGTTTGCTCCAACCATGTATTTTTCACAGACATTTTGAAAAACCCTTGTCTGGGTGGTTTGTGAAATATTTTCGCACCAAAATAGAACTCACTTTTTATCTATTTCCCACGAACTTTCTGGAGAAAAAAGTGAATGCCTCACTGGGGCAAGTGAATTAAGTGTCGTGGACTGCTCAGAGCTGTGTTTAAGCTCTCTCTCCAGATCGCCCGCCAGTGGCAGCCCCATGGGCACGCGTGAGCCCTGGCTCCCTCCTTTGGAATAAGGTGGCTGGGGCGTGCTAGCTGTCCGGGCGGTCTCCTGCCTCAGGAACCCAGTGCTTCCACCTGCCGAGAGGGCAGGGACCGGCAGAGCCCGACCTGGATGCGGGGAGCGGAAGCGGCAGGGCACCGAACGCAGGGAACACGACCCAGGAGCACAGAGAATAAATCAGAACACGAGCCGCAGTGACAGTTCCAGATTGGCAGCGAGTGCCAAATGCCGACACAGACCGTCCAGTTCCGGGAAGAGAAATCCAATCCCGACTAGGCGGCTGCGCGAGGCGAAACCCGCGGGAGGAGCGGGGCGGGGCGGCTTCCCTGACCGAACCTCTCCTTGGGGCGGGCCTGTGGGCACTTACCCAAGTCTAACCAAGCCCCTGGCCCCAGCCCATCACCAAACACATGCATCCTCCGACGACCCACTCCCCGCCCCACCTAGGCTCCGCACCACCACAGAGAACCTGGGGTGGGGCAAAGACCCCTGAAGTTGGGGACAGCGAGGTCTGTGGGCAAATTCCCGGGCCCGGGGGAGGGAGGACCCGCCAGGACCTTCCGGGCGCACGGAGCCCAGCTCCGCAGCCGGCGCCCGTCCTGATTGGCGCTCCAAGCCTGCCTCCCTCCGGCTCACCTGCCACTCCCAGCCAATCGGGGCCACCAGAATTGGGGCTGTGGGGCGGTGGGGCGAGGGGGGAGGGTGGGGGAGGGAGTAGGCGGGGGTTGGGGGGCGGGGGGAAGATGCTGCCGCCCGAGGCTGAGCCACCCTCCCGCCCAGTTCCCGCCGGGCCCGCCGCAATCCCGAACCTGAGTAGGAGTCGCGGGTTGCGCGCCCCGCTCGCCCTAGCGCGCATTCGCTTCCCCTTCGCGTTTGGATGCGGCAGCTCCCGGCTGGGGCCAGCGGGGCCACGACTCACTGGGACGCATCCCCGACGGTGCCCCGAGACCCCAGCAGGAGCCACTTGTCCACGGCCACCAGCCGCCCGCCCTGTCCCTGTCGGCCTCAGTGGAGGGCCAGGCTGGGCCGAGGGCAGCCCCGCCGAGGCAATATGTTCACGTCCAAGTCCAACTCGGTGTCGCCGTCGCCGTCCCTGGAGCAGGCCGACTCCGACGCGCTAGATATCAGCACCAAAGTGCAGCTCTACGGGGTGCTGTGGAAACGGCCCTTCGGGAGGTCCTCGGCCAAGTGGTCCCGGCGGTGAGTGTGCGTCTTCCGGCCCGAGAAAACCACCGGGAGGGCCCCCCCCCGTGGCTGAGGACGCCCCCCAGCCTCTGCTTCCCCACTACCACGCTGTGACCTTGACCTGCCCCGTTTCCACTCTGCGAAGTCTGTCCCTGGTTCTTAAGCTGGGGTTGAGGGACATCCAGGCGCGAGGGCTGGGAGGCGTGGGGTGGGCCGCTGGCCTGGAGAATGGGCCTGGGTCCCGCAGCGGGCCACGCGCTGGTGGGCTGAAGAGATGCGGATGACTGTGACTAGGGCCCGGCTGGGCCAGGTTGGAAACAACAATCTCCCGTGGAGGGTCAAACCCATCTTCCAGTCAGAGATGGTCTCCTCCCGGGACACCGGTGCCAGCTCCCTCCCCTGATGCGCGGGAGGGGCTTCCCGCCCACTCCCAACCCTGGGCCGGCTTCTTTAGCAAGGCTGCTATCTCTGCCGCTGAAATCAACAATAAATAAATAAACACAAATAAGCAAATAAGCATCTGTAATTACATGTAATTATATGTGATTACATGCAATTATTTGTAATTCATGTGTATAATTATTGACTTGCTTGTGTTATTTGAAAAGCATAGAGAGAGATCTTCCATCTGTCTGCTGGTTCACTTCCCAAATGCCCCCCAACAGCTGGCTGAGGCAAGTTGAAGCCATGAGCCAGGATTGTCATCCAGGTCTCCCACATAGGTGGCAGGGCCCCAGGTCCTGGAGCCACCACCTGCTGCTTCCTAGGGTGCACACACATTCGTGGGGAGCTGGAGCTGGGATTGGAACCCAGACGCTCCAAGTAGCTTCTTAACCGCTGTGTGGATATTTGTGATGTGGACCAGGTGGAGCGCTGCTGGGAGCGGCGGGGAGGGAACAAGCAACCAGTCAGGCAGGGGTGGATCCTTTGAAGGGACTGCTCTGCCCCCACCTTGTCCTTAAACACCAGCTTCCTGGTCCCCAACTCTGAGGAGATTCCCAAGCAGCCAGTAGTCCGCTTTGCCCTTACAAATGGGGCTGCGAGGTATGGATAACGGGGAACTTGTGTGCCCTCTGGAACTGGACTCTGGCTCACCCAGGAAATCAGGGGTTCATCTGGATGTCCCGAATCCCCCGCCCCACAGCACGAGTGTGGTCCTGCGCAGGGGCGGGAGGGGCGGGGTTCTGAGGCTCACGGGGGAGTAGGAGTGGTTAGCTCTGGTGCTCTGCCTTGATGAATAATTAAATATTTCTGTGAGACCGCAGAACAAATGGAGCTTTGGAGTGCCTTTCAGATTTTACACAGCTGGGTGCGTGCATGTGCTGTGGTTACTTCTGACAGCCTTCTCCCTGGGATTTAATGGGATACAGGCCCCTTGAGGTCCCCCACAGCTAAGCTTAGCTCTGATCTTTCCAGCAAAGGCTGGGGCAGTGGGAAGAGTGTGTGACAGGCATCCAGGCACTGCTCATGGAGCTGGAGCCTCCACTGAGGGGCCAGCCTGTCTCTAGCAGGGCGGCACTGGGAAGGCAGCCTGGAGATCCCGGGAGCTCTAGCAGGAGACTCCTCTGCATCCCACTCCCTACTTCCTCTGCCTCTGCTACCCCGGGCAGCCAGTACTTCTGCTCTGTGGGGTCTGGCATGAGCCTGAACCCTCTCATCCATCATTCTTCATACCAGGCATTTTCACTTGATTGCAGCCCCCAGGAAATGCCAAGTCCATGACTTGCCCTTCCCCCCTAAGCTATCCCTCCTGCCTTCCCTCACCACGCAGGTACTGGGTGGATTTCTGGCCCCATTACCCGCACTTGGATCCAAGGCTGGGAAGTGTCGGCGTAACCCTCCCAGCTGAAGACACACCCAAGGTGAAGGTGGGGGAGACTGGAGAGCTTTAGGGTCCCCTCCTATTTCTGGAATCACCCCAGAAACCATCCAGGGCCAACAAATATACTTGCTCCTCAAATATAGCTCTGAGCCCAGTCTCCCAGCTCCCTGTGTTCCATCTCTTATAGCTACTCGACAGCTACCATCCTTGTTCCCAGGGGCTCAGGAAAGAGGTGACATCCCTCATGGCCACTGTAGGTCTGTGTCCCTGTCGCCATGTCTGGGAAAACACACAGACACACACTGCCCCTCTTAGCCTTGGGTCGTCTACAGAGCCACCCAGGGAGGCTCTGGAGAGTGGGTGGGTGGGGGAGACATGAGGCTCAGAGCAAACCCTCTTGCTTTCCAGCAGAACCCCCTGGACTCCCATTTCCATTTGTGAAAGGGAGTGTCTGAACCTGAACTGGTCAGCAGCCACAGGAAAGCTTGGGGACAGGGCAGCGGAGGCCGGCTGTTGCAGAGTCTTGCCATTAGGGCGATCGATGCCTGGCTGGGGTGGCCCAGGGGAGGGGGTCTGTAGAGGCTCGGTGCTGCATAAACAGCCAGTGGCAGGATGGAACCGGCTGCAGCCAGCTGGGTTCCAGAAAACCTCTTCCCCTGTGGGTCAGTCTTAGTGCCTCTGCCTCCAGCTCCCCCCAGTCCCACCCCTCAATGCCTTCCCGGGCCAGAGCTCTCAATAGGCGGAATCTGTTACCCACAGCAACCAAAAGCCTTGATTAGCAGAGGTGAGTGGACTGGGAAGAGGCGTGCAGAGGGTGAGGCTGATGGCTGAGGCTGATGGCTCTCCTCCGCCATGGCGCTGCAGGTGCTAAGTCCCAGCTCAACCCATTCTGAGAAAGGGGCCGCGTGGCCCCAAATCTCAAACCTGTACGGACTGAGGCTCTTTGCAGATGGCTGTCACCAAGCCAAAAATGTTTAGCGGGAGGACTTTCTTCTCAGAGTGGTTTAGGGCCAAGGTTTTATCTTAGGCTGTTGACACTACTTCCTGCCTTTGACCAGGTCCATTCTTGGCTGTTGCAAGCCTTTAGGGTATGAATCAATGCGAGGAAGATTTTTCTTCATCTTTGTCTTTCTGTATTTCAGATAAGCTCAAAATAAATAACTTAAAAAAATAAGCGATGTCTTTTTGGCGCCAGCACCTTGGTATAGCCTACTAAACCTCAGCCTGGGGCACTGGCAGCCCACATGGATGCCAGTTCGTATCCTGGCTGCTCCATTTCCCATTCAGCCCCCTGTCAGGGAAAGCAGTGGGGGATGGCTCAAATCCTTGGACTCCTGCACATGCATGGGAAACCCCTGGCTTCAGATTGGCCGGGTCTTTGTGGCTGTTTGGGGAAGTGAACCGGCAGGTGGAAGATCTCTGTCTCTCCCTCTCTTTGAAACGCTACCTTTCGGATATAAATTAAACAAAAATAAATAAATAAAACAAAACTTTTTAAAAATAAATAAAAAGTAAACCATGTCTTTTGAGAACATCTGTGGGCATGGGGGAAAGTTCTAGGTCAGCTGCATGACCAGGGTGGATCAGATGTGGCTTTTCAGCGGATAGTTCCAGAAAGGCCTAGAGGGTATCACCAGGTAGTGGACATCAGGTTGTGCCGCTGCCAGCGCTCCAGCTCTGTCAGTCGGCACTTCTGTGCTTTTTGCCGTATGATTTGGACAATCGTGCTGAAAACACCTCAAGCACCCTTGAATTTGATCTTATCTGTAAGCACGGGTGTCTCCCAGGTAGCTTTCCTGGTGCCAGACAAACAGCCTGAGCCAGGAAGAGCCAACCAGGCCACCCAGATGGGACAAAAAAAGACACACAGTGAGGCTCCAGGGACACAGTGGGCTCTTGTTTCTGCTTTCCTCCTGTCACTCCTGAAAAGGACATATCTGATAAGCTGGCCTTCCTGGTGCCAGCCCCACACTCCTGTTCACCACCCACTTCCCTGAGGGGCCTGGGAGGCTGGGTGCTGGGCCTCTTCTGGAAGTTTGTGCCTGGAGAGAGAGAGGCCCAGGCTGCATGTCCCGTGGAAAGCTCAGACATCCACTGTATTCTTACTACCCACACAAAACGAGGTAAACGAAGCGTCCAGACCCACTCTGCTGTCCTGAGGAAGTTGCATGGTTTCTGCTGGCCCCAGGAGGTCCTGAACCCCGACCCCTCCTGTGTGTCTTTGTCTTCCATGCGGGTGGACCTTGTTACACAACCCCAGGTCAGGACTCAACATATTGCTCGCCTCCAGGGAGAGAACACAGAGGTGCCATTAAATGAAAGCGGCTCGGCTCTGTGTGCACGAACACGCTCAAATTGAGTCTTAGCTCCCTGGTTTCTCGAGCTGTTCGGACCCCGGACATGATGGCGTCTTTGGGGCCCAGACTCTTACCTCTTCTCCAGGATCTCCCCTCCTCAGCACCCCCTTCCCTCCTGCTTCCCTCTGTCCTCAGGAGTTTTCTTCAAATTCAAATCTCTCTCCCTCTTTTATCTCAAGCCCTCCTGCAGCTCCTGCTCCCAGACTTGACATTTGCATCTGGCAGCACTGAAGGCCTTTCTCCAGGCCCCATGCGATGGCCTAGTGGCTGAAGGCTTCACCTTGCATGTGCTGGGATCCCATTACAGCGTCGGTTCATGTCCCAGCTGCTCTACTTCCCATCAAGCTCCCTGTTTGTGGCTTGGGAGGGCAATGGAAGATGACCCAAGGCCTTGGTAGCCTGTGTCCACATGGGAGATCTGGAGGAAGCTCCTTGCTCCTGGCTTCGGATCAGCTCAGCTCTGGCTGTTGCAGCCACTTGGGCAGTGAATCTCTGTGTCTCTTCTCTCTGTGTATCTGCCTTTCCAGTGAAAATAGAGAAATCTTTTGTTTTAACTTTTTTTAAAAAAAATTATTTAATTTTATTGGAAAGGAGATATACAGAGAGGAGGAGAGACAGAGAGGAAGATCTTCCATCTGATGGTCCACTCCCCGAGTGAGCGCAACGGCTGGAGCTGAGCCAATCCGAAGCCAGGAGCAAGGAACTCTTTCAGGTCTCCCACGTAGGTGAGGGTCCCAAGGCTTTGGGCCGTCCTTGACTGCTTTCCCAAGCCATAAGGAGGGAGCTGGATGGGAAGTGGAGCAGCCAGGATACAAAATGGTGCCCATTGCCCATAT